CCGGGTCGCGGCGGAGGTCAGGCAACAGGATAGACGCCTCTTTGAGGCAAGGGGTCCTGGCGGCGCCATCTTGAGTGTGGCCTTAACGAACTTCCGGGCTGGGGCCACCATCTTGAGTGTGGTCTCGGCTAAGTTCCGGTCCTGGTGCCGCCATCTTGAGTGTGGCCTTGGCGGACTTCCGGGCTGGGACCGCCATCTTTAGTGTGGGCAGGGGTAAGTTCCGGTCCTCTCGGTGCCATCTTTACTGTGGGCTTGGCGAACTTCCAGGCCGGGCCCGCCATCTTTGTGTACGGCCTTGGAGGACTTCCGGTACCGGCGCCGCCATCTTTCTTTCGGGGTGCCCTCGCAGCGCTTCCGGTCCGGGAGGGCGCCATCTTTGGTGGTGCACCGTCGAAAACAGTCCGGTCGCTCTCTACTTCCGGTGACCGAGTTTACCCAAATTAGCGTCCCTCCCTAATTTCTGCGCTTTCATCCCAAAAATCTTCATGTTATTCCCCCACACACACACCCCGGGAGAGACGGGAGACTGCAAGTCCCGCCGTGCCTCCGGAACCGGCCCTTACCTTGAGCAGGGAGCGCGGCACCGGCACGAGAGCCATTGCGCATGCGTCACCGGTCCCGCTCCTGGCCGCCCTTAGTTACCACGTGATCGCCGGCGTCTTGCCAACGACTCCGCATGCGCCGGCGCCGCCACCTTGTCTTCCCGCCCCCCCACCCCGCCGCCCGACCGCCCGGCTTCGCTTTCTTGCTGCGGCTCCCCCTCCACTTTTTCAGCTCCCTGGGGTTCCCCCCCCGCCACATTTTGGGGTCCCTTTCTCACATTTTAGGGGTGATGACCCCGCCATTTACGGTTCGGAGGGAGGGGGGGTGGAGGAGAGGAAACGGGGTGCCCAAGAAGGGGTTTCTTTTTTTTTTTTTTCTCTTTTATTTCATTTTCGTTTTATTCCCTTTTTAGCTTTTTTGCTTTTAATTTTTTTTATTTTCTTTTGTATTTTATAATTCCTTTTTTATTTCGTTTATTTTTTATTCTCTTTATTTTTCACTTTCTCTCCCAGTGCTCCCCAGTAACACCCAGTGCTCTCCAGTGCTCCCCAACAACCCCCAGCGCTCCCCAACAACCCCCAGTAACACCCAGTGCTCCCCAAAAATTGACCCAAAACTGACCCCAAAAGCTGACCCAAAACTGACCCAAATCACCTCAAAAAACTGACCCCAAAAACTGACCCAAATCACCCCAAAAAACGACCCAAAACTCTGCATTTATTTGGCCTCATTTCCTCTCAGAAACAACATCTCCAATTTAGCTGACTGCTAAAGCCATCATTTTAAAATCATCCCAGGAATCAAAAGGGACTGGAAAACACACAGAAAGCATTCCTACACCCACCAAATCATTAGGAATTGGAACCCCATTCCCTCATCTCCCTCCTTGTTTTTCTTGGCTGGAAAACCTGATGATCCCCGCTGGCTATTTTTAGGCTGCTTTTCTTCCACAGCTCCTTTCTCCCGGCTGAAACCTCCTGGCATATTCAGAGGTTATCTGGAGGGAAGCCCCTCGGAAGTATTTCCTCTCGTGGCAATTCTGTGGGATGAAGAAGTAAAAAAAGCCCGTCAGGAGCTCCTTCTCCCCCCTTCCCTCGCAAACACCCTCCCAGTTTGTCCTCGGCAGCTCCATCCCCCCCGGCACCCGCACCCGACGCTTTGGCTCCCCTGGGAAAGGGACAGCAAGGGCAGGAGCAAGCTCAGTGCTGGGCAGGGGCTCCCTGGGGAACGGCACTTCCGTGCTTTAGTCCGTGGCCTTTCCTGCTGCCCTCCCTCCTGGAGGCAGAGGATGACCCCTCCCTTGTTCCTCCCACGCTCGCAGACCCAGGGTCCTGCTCTTTTGGCCCCACTTTTCTTAGCAGACCCGGCATCATTTTCCAGGGTCCCCAAGAAACTTCTGCACTTGACCCATTGCTAAGCGCAGAGCACAGGGCAAGGGAAGGACAAATTTCTCAGCACCCACCACCTGGAATTTTCCTTCTCTGCAGCACGCTCCCGTTCCCGCTGTCTCTGGAGGTGCCCGCATGAGTCCTCCTCATCCCAACACCTAACAGAATGTCATTTTCACCCAGGTCCTGCTTCCCGTCGTTCAACAAAACACGCTGACGACATTTTTCATGATGCCAGTGGAGAGATATTAGAGCACACTGCACAGGGAAGCCGAGGCTGCCCCATCCCTGGAAGTGTTCCAGGCCGGGCTGGACGGGACTCGGAGCAAGCAGGGACAGTGGAAGGTGTCCCTGCCCTCGGAAGACAGGGTGGCCTTTGAAGGTCCCCTTCAAACCAAATCGCTCTGGGATTCCCCTCCAAAATCCCTACCAAAGAGGCACAGCAATCAAAGCAGAGGGACTGCACTCCCAGCTTTTCTTACCTGCAGGCATGCTGGACGTAAAAGCCACAGGGTCAGTCCTGCCAGAGGCGTCCGGCACATCCACGGCGACCGAAGGGAAAGAGGGAGCCTGGGAACACGGAGTAAAAGACACTTTAATTAGGACTGCACTGACCAATAGCCAGGTCATTCCCACAGACAGCTTCGCTGGCCAGTCACACGAAAAGCACTTACCCAGCAGGGCCTCAGTTAGGATGGCTCCTGATGCTGACCAGGCGAACACCTCCGTTTGCCCCGGGGGGTCAAGAATAACATCCCTGGTAAGAAGCCACCCCGAACAATAAAAAGGGAAAATTAGTGAAGCACGGGCTCCTCTTCTGACTAGACTGCCACCAGCATTCAATAGCAAATGCCACGACTATTCTGTTACGGACGAGAAAACCCTGTTCTCCCAAACAAACAGCGAGGAGATTTATGGGCACGCCTGAAAATTTCCTGTGAGGAACTTTTTGGAACTAAGGAGTAGGTGCTATCTTGAGTTGAAGGCATCACTCCCTCAACCCCAAGGCATCCTCAGGACGCCTCCGACTCCGGATTTAAGGTCGGAGAAGCTCGGCAGGGCCAAAACACCGCCGCTTTCCCACGGGCGTCGCTTCCCAGCCCGCCCCCGAGCGCCGGGCCCTGCCTCACAGTCGCCGCCTGGCGGACACGGCCGGGAGCGGCACTGCAGCCGCGCGCCCCCCCCCGCCCTTGGCGAGACTCGCGGCGCCTTTCGCCTTTCTTCCCTAAAACCTGCCCTTCCCTAGGGAAAGCTGAGCAATTCACAGAGTTGCTGTTTCCACCCCAGCTTCCCAAAGGATTTCTCTCTCCCGGCAGCACAGACAGGGTCCCCGAGGCAGCGCAGACCCTCCCCGCGGGGGGTGTGCAATGCCAGGACACATCCGAACCCGGCCCTGCGGCGGCACGCAGGTGCAAGTTTCTCCGCAGAGGCGAGAAACTTGCCTGTCGCTTCCCCTGCCTGCAGCCCGACGGCCGCGGGAGAGGCAGAAGAGCGGCCGCGCCCCCGCCGCGCCCAGCTTACCCCAGGGACGATCTCCGTCGGATCTGCCGCCGTGGGTCGCTTCCGGGGGGAAAAAGCGGCGGCGCAGCCCCGACAGCATCTCCGGGGCACGGCAGGACCGAGCGGGAGCGGGAACGGAACGGGGCGACCGACTGCCTGGGGTCCTCGCGCGTCCGCCGCGCGCCGCGGCCCCGAGAAGGGGCTGCCCGCGCCTGTGCCTGCCGCCGCCCACGAAACTGCCGCCCGTGCCCGGCGCCGCCGAGCGCCCCGTCCTGTCCCCACAGCGGGAAGCGGCGCGGCGAGACGGCGCTGCGGGCGCGGGGCGGGGGTTCGGGTCGCGGCGGAGGTCAGGCAACAGGATAGACGCCTCTCTGAGGCAAGGGGGCCTCCTGCCGCCATTTTGAGTGTGGTCTCGGCTAAGTTCCGGTCCTGGCGGCGCTATCTTTACTCTGGGCTTGGCGAACTTCCGGGCCGGGCCCGCCATCTTTGTGTACGGACTTGGAGGACTTCTGGTCAGGGAGCCGCCATCTTTCTTTCTGTGCGGTTCCGCAGCACTTCCGGTTCGGGAGGGCGCCATCTTTGGTGGTGCGCCGTCGAAAACAGTCCGGTCGCTCTCTACTTCCGGTGACCGAGTTTACCCAAATTAGCGTCCCTCCCTAATTTCTGCGCTTCCACCCCAAAAATCTCTATATTATTCGCCTCACACACTTCCCGGGAGAGACGAGAGACCGCAAGTCCCGCCGTGCCGCCGGAACCGGCCCTTAAGTTGAGCAGGGAGCGCTGCAGTGTCACAAGAGCCACTGCGCATGCGTCGCCGGTCCCTCTCCCGGTCGCCGTTAATTACCACGTGATCACCGGCTCTTGCTAACGACTGCGCATGCGCCGACGTCGCCACTTTGGCTGCCCCTCCCTCCGCTCGACCTCGCTCGCTTTTCTGGGACCCCTCCCTCACATTTCGCGGCTCTCCCCCCCCGCCGCTTTTTCGGCTCCCTGGGGTTCCCCAACCCACGTTTTCGGGTCCCCTTCTCACATTTTAGGGGTGACCCCCAATCTACAGGTCGCAGGGCAGGGAGTAAACGGGGTCCAAGAAGGGTTCTTTTTCATTTCACTTTTCATTTTATTTCCTTTTTAGTTTGCTCACTTTTATTTTTTTCTTTAATTTTCTTTTGTATTTTACATTTCTTTCTGTATTTCGTTTATTTTTTATTCTTTTTATTTTTCATTTTCTTTTATTTCTTGTTTTGTTTTTATTTTTTATTATTCCAGAATGGGAAACACTTCAGCTCCTCAGGGCCAGAGAAAGGCTCCCCTGCCCTTCCCTTAAACACAACGCCTGCAATGAGTGCCCTGGAAGCCCACTCCACTCATGCCAGGCACCGGGGTTCACCCAGAGGGGCTTTGCCAGCATCCAATGGAAATTAAAATTACAGCCTGGGCAAAGGCGCTTCCCGCAGGACCGCTCCTGGCCAAGGCCACTGGTCCGTGGGAGTCAGACCACTGACCACCCAGGGCGATTTTCAGGGGATACTTCCAGGTTTTATTCTCCAGAAACTCCAGTTTTTCCTGGCACCGCTTGCTTCAGTATTTCCCTGTTGGAAGAGGTCAATTAGTCTTTTTAGGGGCCAGATTGCCAAAGCCCGGCCAATCCATTCCCTCCACACCTCCACACCCCCTCACGCTCATGGGCCCGAGGGGCAGCCCTGCCCCGCACAGGCCCTGGGGCTGGCCCTCAGGCCGTCTGTCCTGAGGCTGGAGTGATCCTGCCATCAGCCCGTGGCCACGAGTGGCACAGAAAGCCCAGGGCCAACAGCAACTCCAGGCAGCTGCAGGCAGAGGTTATCCCTTCCCAGCTTTTTGGGAGTGGGGGGGAAGGTGCCTTTCCCAGTCCGGCAGCGGCATCATCCCCGCCGCAGAGCCCGCCCCGGTCCTGGGCCGCCTTGGAGACAATTCCCCTGTCGCAGCCCACTTCCTGCAGAAAAATGGCAAAGATTGCACCTTAGAAGAGAATTCTTCCCTAGGAGGTGGTGAGGCCCTGGCACAGGTTGCCCAGAGGAGCTGTGGCTGCCCCATCCCTGGAAGTGGCCAAGGCCAGGCTGGACGGGGCTCGGAGCCACCCAGCAGTGGCAGGTGTCCCTCCCTGGGGCAGGTGTCCCTGAACGAAACGATCCTTAAGGGCCCCTCCAACCCAAACCACTTCAGCATTCCATGAGGATTCTGTGAGCTATCTCTGCCATTCGTTTGGCATTGTTTCCAATTTCAATTCTCAAATTCACACGCTTTGTTAAAGGAATCATTTTTAAATTATTCCAGTAAGAAAAAGGGGAGTGTAAAACATGCAAGGATCATTCCTGTGTCCAGCAAATCATTAGAATTGGAAGCCTATGACTTCACCTCTGTCCTTATTATTGTTTCCTGGAAAATCCTATGATCCCACAGTTTCAAAGAGAGATCCACTGGAATGACCAGGTTTGCTCTGACAGAAAGCCAGGGGCATTTAGATCACTTGTTCCTCTGCATCTTTACTGTTTTTCAGAGCATTGCTCTGGATACAGCCCTATCGTTTTCTTGAACTTCTTTTTAGTAGTCTGCTTCAACCCTAACCACTGCTCCAGAGTGCTGTGGGTGGCAAAATATATGCAGCCTTTGTTTAATTCCCTTCTTACTGCTGAAGGCTTGAATTCCTTCACTTACCAAATCTCCTCCTTTTTATCTCATTCTCTATCTTATGCTAGCCAGTGATCCATACCCACAGTGAATTTCCTTAGACGGATATTTTTTAACACTGCTGTGTTTCTTTCACTGGGGAGTATTCAACCATCCCCAAAAAATGCATGTGATGATAAGCAGATATCATTTCTTTAATGTAGAGCAGTTTATATAATCTATTTGCATTATTTACCAAGGTTGCCAGGCTCTCTGATGCAAGAAATGGGAGCTTGGTTTTATTAGTTTGCTTACAGAATTCAGCTCAGTGGAGAAAATGAGATAGCATGACACATCTCATGAGAGTCCAGACCTCTGCCCCCACACCCGGACACCTTTCAGTAAAAACAGCCCACAGCACTGAGCACACACCTGGCAATGCACCCACACGGCCCAAGCCCGCCCCTCGCTCGGGAGAAGCACTCCCCTCTCAGCCTCCTTCTCCCTCGCTTCTGATCTCCAGCTAGGAAGAATGTCTAGCAATCAGAGAGCAAGATACTAAAAGAAAATAGATCTGAGAGCCCTGAGCAAAACAGGAAAGGGAAGATGTTTAGTCCAAGCCTTTGCATTTATATTTTTTCCTATTGCAAAGCAAGGTTGTTTTTGTTTTGATTTTTTTTTCCTTCTCTTTCTTCATCCTGACTGTCAGCAGATGTACGCTGTAGAGGAAGCTGATCTGCAGGGGCTGCGTTTTCAGCGGATATGACTGCAGCAATCACGACCTCCTGAAGCGCTCTGGCAAGGATTCCATTGACTGTAAGATGGATCACTTCCTGATGGACAGTTTCAAAGTTAGGTAAAGCAGGAAATTGGGGGAGGGAAGCCCATGTCACATTGAGGTCTGTTTGCAACAGGTTCTGGACTGAGAGAGAAACTGGGTGTGGGTGGAGATGGCCATGGCCATGATAAGGCTCTAGTGATGAAGTCATAACCAGCTTCTTCAGCTAATGAAGAGTGTAAGTGGGCAAGTCAAACACATGCAAAAATTAGATCTGGTGAAATGCATTTTTGCTCAAGTATTTCAGGTTCTTGGGAGATCCTTGAAGTGCTGTACTTACATAGAAGGGAGAACAAGCAGAAAGGACAGTCTGGGCACTGTCAAGGGTGCCAGCTAACCTCATCTAGCAAGCACTGATTAGGAGGCTCCAGGAGTTGGAGGGGATTTGAAGTTGGTTGGATCATACTGTAGGTTGAGGTTTGTAACCATACCTTATAGATTCAGCCACACACTGGAGAATCATCATCCTGAAACCTACACTAGCTGAAACCAAACCCTTTATTTTCTTTGGAGTAAATGGAGAACAGAAGTTCTTTACCACACCAAGGTATTTTCTTTGCTGATATAAGGGATATATAAGGAAAACTGCTTCCAAGGCTGATCTGAGCTCAAGACCATGACTCAGAGGAGATGTAACCATAACTCAGAGGAGACGTACTATTAAGTAGTTACTGTTAGCCTCGATTCACCATGGAAAGCTTTTCCTTCTCTAAGCCTCTCTGACAGGCAAATATTGCTCAGCTTCTCCGTATCTCAGGTTACAGTAAAAATATAGTTGGGATTTTGTCAACCTTTTACTGAGTGCATTACAAATAGGGCATTCCAGCATTTCCCAAGAGTGGGATGTACTGGAGCAGGTTGTTGAATCTAGTAACTACAGCCTTATTTGCTGTTTCTCATCATTCAGGTGGACAAAAGGTGCTAAGCGAGGCATGGCCAAGAGGTGAGGAACACCTCTTAGAACCACTGCTTTGAATATAGACAGGCTTTGGGAGTGGTTAATGCTTTCCAGGGTCTGTGCATTTGCTTGTACAGCTTTGATTATCAATACCCTCTATCCAAAGCATACACCTTTAAGGACAATATTCTTAACAGGAAATGGAAGCTCTTGCTTCTAGTGTTTCATTACCAAAGAACTTAAGTTTTCATTTACCTGCTTTCCAACAGCTAAAAGAGAGTCTAAATCTTAATGTAAATCCCTGAGAGTATTTCAGGAATCTCCCCTTTATTTACTGGCAGAACTTTACAGGGATGTGAGCTGAGTCATCAAGAAAAAACAAGATAAAGCAATACATTAAATGAAAGGACAGACTCAAGACAAGGTAAAGCCAGTAACAGCAAGTGGAAGTCAGCATGATCCAATGATTAGTTCATCAGTGGGTGGTTAAGTCTTGCGAGGTCTGGAAATGTTGGACTTCCCATATTTTTCCTATGCAACAGACCTGAACACTGAGGATAGAAAACATCTGCATGCCCTATACATATTAAAGTCAGGCTAAGACCGTAACAGAATCCTGCACTTTGGAAAACCTGAGGCAAAATAAAAGATAAAGAAATCACTTCAAATTCACCCAAACGAAATCTCTGGATATGCAGTAGCTGCCAGGAAGTATGAGGATGTAACAGAATCCTCTGATTCCATACATGCTTTCCATCTGGTTAGC